ATGCTTTTTAATTACTTATGTGCTCAAGTGGTGAATTATCTAAACTACTTAAAACAGTAGTAAGAGAAATACTTGGAGGGACATGATGATAGAAAGATGGGCAAAATTTGTGCAATGCATATACAGGGTTCATTACAAAATTCCTTAAAACGACAACTATCCCTTGTAAAGTTGCAAAACCAACTTTTGCATCTTTTCAAAACCCTAAAGAAATGAGGTTTACAAATGTTTAAACTAAATAATAGTTATAACAAATGACTTGACACTGTTAATGAATAAAAAAGATACATACCTATTTTTACAACAACTGCAAGTTTTGGCAGATAAAAAGAAGTGTGTATTTAAATACTCTTTAACTGTACTAAGAACAAAAATTAAAGTTGCTTATTTTGCCTATTGCCGGGGCACAAAAAGCAACTTTGTTTACAAAAAAAAAATGTAAAGAAAGTCTTGAATAACTACCGAATAATGATATAACATAAAATTATAAACAATATTATACTTTTATTATTAAAAACATTTTTAATAATACTGTATTATTGCGTAATTAAAAAATACTATTTATACACACACAGACAAAAATGCTAATGTATACTGACATCATAAAACATGTGATAATATAAAGAGTTTTTAAAATACCATCATACCTATAGCTAGAATTATAGTAATCAACGCTTATGTTTTATTTACTTATAACAAGTCACACTAAAATAAATAGTAATTTTCACTTTTAAAATAAAATAAACTAGTAAAAATATACAAACTAATATTAATTAATATAAAAAATCTAATAAACTACTGAAAAAATAAGAAAAAGAAAAAAACATCTTATTGGCAGTCTATATCTAATTGTATTAATATATATATATATATATATATAAATAAATATATATAAATAAATATATATATATATATATATATATATATATATATATATGAATATATATATATATATATATATATATATATATATATATATTATACATATAACATAAATAATTACTAAACTAACCAAATAAAATTCAACTTGTTTGTACCCCTCTTACCACCCACTTACGGAAATCAGAAAAACAGAAATGAGGTAACAAAACTGCTCACTTTTATAGACTATCTGCTCAATAATATTTTTTAATGAAATTTGGTAGGTAAATAAAAAATATATGTAAAAAACTATCTGGGTAGGTTTGCAAACTATCTGAGCATTTCTTTGACAATAATTTAATGTGAGAACAACAACCAAGTTTTTAATACAAATAAAAGCAATACAAAAATTACCAACCACACATAAATGTTATATATTAATCAAGTTTAACTATTCTTTTTTTCAAAAATAATCTAAGTTTAGTAATGTTTCTAAACAGAAACGCCACAAAATAACGTTCGCCTGACGTTACCTAAAAAAAAGTTCAAAAAACCTGGCACAAAATTTTAGTACAAAATTCGGTTCCGTAAAACACGGATTTCCGCGTACCTAATATATATAAATGTATATATAAATATATATAACATATATATATATATATATATATATATATATAATATATAATGTATATATATATATATATATATATATATATATATATATATATATATATATATAATATATATATATATATATATATATATATATATATATATATATATATATATATATATATATATATATATATATATATATATATATATATATATATATATATATATATATATATATATATATAACATTATAAATACATTCACGTATACATACAAATGTAAACATACTTTGTTTGACGAGTAGCTGTGCGAAAAGTTATCTTTTAATTTGCATTGAAAAAAAATATATTTATAAAGGTTGTAATTTTGTAATGTTGCTAAGAATTTATGCCACAAGTTCCTTGTTTACTTCGTTGTCAAGGAAGTAAAACAGTAAAAATGAAGATGTCAACATTATAATATTGTGACATGAAAATTATTCGTGAAACTAATTTTGTAAAGGTGAACGATATTTAATTCAATTCTTTAAAATAACTAACTTTGTGCATAGTAAAAATTAGTTCGTTTTTTAAAGAAATAAAAACTTCTTTTATATAAACTTAAACGCTAACATAATCCAGTTTTAATGTAGAAACAAAATCCAACGAAAAACCGATTTCTCTTTAATTATAATGTAAAAATAATGTATACAAGTTCCATTTTATGAACTTCTTTGAAACTCAATTAATTTTGTTATTGTAAATGGCGAAATTTAAGATTCGGTTTTATATATATCGGTTTTTATCATATTTTATCGTTTTAACATATTTTATCATATTTTATCATATTTTATCGGTTTATAAAATATCTTCTTGTAACAGAACCAATTGGGCCCCAAATGGGAAACCCATCACATTCCCATATTCCGTAACCCAGATATGATTTCTACAAGAGTTTTAGCGTGATTTTTTAGCCATACGGGACCCATCAGGAAACCAGTACTCGCGCCCATTTAGATCCCGTATCCCGTAAACCCGGATATAAACCGTACGGGGCCCGTTTGCTATTGCTGGCTGGGTTAGTCTACAAACTTCATCTTTTTTCTTCCAATAACTTTCAACTCCTACAATGATTGCTTGCAGCCTAGTTGAAACAACTCACAAATATACATACAATGACTTACTGTTGTTTCAACGATATGGCACAAGACCAACAGAACACAAACATAAATAAAAAAAACAAAAACTTGATCAAAATGACTAACCTGCATTATCAAATGAAATTATAGCCATTACACAGTTCCAACAGAAGAGTAAAATACATATAATGACTTACAGGTAGATAAACACAAAGATACACATAATGACTAATGGCTACATAAATACAAACATACATATAATGACTTACGGGTGAGTCAGCACCACTCCAGAGGTGCAACAGAACACAAACATACACATAATGACTGATAGGTACATAAACACAAACATACATAAAGGTCCAACAGAACACAAACATACACATGAGTAACAGGTATATAAACACAAACATACATATAGTGACTTACGGGTGTGTCAACACCGCTCCAGAGGTCTGACAGAACACAAACATATACATAATGACTAATGGATACATATACACAAACATACATATAGTGACTTACGGGTGCGTCAACACCGCTCCAGAGGTCCAACAGAACATAAACATACACATAATGAGTAACAGGTACATAAACAAAAACATACATATAGTGACTTACATGTGCGTCAACACCACTTCAGAGGTCCAACAGAATACAAACATACACATAATGACTAACAATGTTTACATAAACACAAACATGCATTTTTAATTTTTCATTTAAAGGAAGCTGATCATAGTTTTCAACAACAAAAGGCAAAATTGCTTCTCTCCAATGTTTAAATTGGTGAAAAAAACTTGAATTAACAATAGTGCGATCTGTCATCAAAGATTTGAAAGAAAAAATAAGTTTCCTAAGATCATTCTCGTAGTTTTCCTTGTCAGGAGAAAATATCTTAGACATATCAGTGAGTAAGTTTTTTAGCTCTCCAAAATAAGATTGTGTCTCTCCCGAAAACATATCTTCTATCCCAAACGTGTAGCTACCAGATGATGTTGGACTTGAAAACTACCAACCTCTCTAAAATTATATTTTGTGCCATCTGTATGAAGAACATTGTTTGTACTAATCAACATAGCCTCTCTCATTTGAGCTTTTGCTAAAAGGTTCATTTCATTAAAAAATTCAGAAGCCAAAGATTTTTTTGGAAGTGTGTCACATGAAATTCCAGCCATTTTTTGTAGTACAGGTCTGATAAAAGATTCAACATTATTAACAGAAACATTTTTAATTAAAAGGTCGTAATATACTGAGCGAATTTCATCATTATATCTACCTCCTTCATAGACGTCAATTACATTTTTTTTCAAAAATGTCAACTCTTTCCTTCAGCTCTTCTGTAAGATTTTCAAAGTAATTCAAACTCTCTTTTAAGAATGAATCATTTGTTTCATCAGATGTTTTCAAAATAGCGTTTTCAATTTTTTCTTTAAATACCAGGCCTTTTGTCGATTTGATTAGGAATGCTTTCTAGCCAAATTAATTTCTTTTTCTAATTTTAAATTTATTTGCAACAATTGGTTAATCTTACAATCTTTTCTAACGTCTCTTTTGTTGACATTTCAAACATTATATTTTGACAAGATTGCTTGATATTTTCTTTTATATTCATAACATCTTCTATTAATTTTTTTATTTTGCAATGTAAGATGATTGATTCTCCATTTATATTTTTTTATTTGATAGGTCAAATCACCAGATAATATAGGGAGTTTTTTTATCCGAATTGAAAACTGGAAGATTCTCTTCATTGACTTGTGTTTCAATGTGAAAATTATCAGAACCATTACCTAAAGGGGTGTGTACAATAGAATTTGGAGTAACAGAGCACAAATAATTATCATTAGCAATTTGCATGTTTACATCAGAAAATACAAAATCAGTAACTTGATTTGGAACAATTTTATTAGAGTGGATAGAAGTAGGGGTAGACCTATTATCAGAGGGTAACAAACCAACAACATCATTAAATGCAACATTCAAAGAGAAAACAGAGCTTAAAAAATACTTTGTTAAATCAAAATTTTTGGCACGATTTAATTTTGCAATGAAATCTTTTGACTTTTATAGACATTTGAGAAACATAATTCTAGATATAGGAAACTGAAACAAGGATGTAAAAAATAATGTAAGCTGCGGCCATGTCAAGTTAAACTTATCTTTTTCTTAACAAATTTGTAAGAAAAAACTATTGGTTAAAACTAAATCTGGATTTTAGAGGGATACAATGCCTCCATTAATATTTAGATAATCCAAGTGTTGGATGCTAAAATTAAAAGTAATCTTAACTTAAGTGACAACAAAGAAAAACAAGGGGTTGATCATTACACTTTGGTATCAATAAATAGAATTACTAAAATCAAAAAAATTTGTGCAACAGTATTCCTTATTTAAAATTTTGACTTACTTTCTTGAGTTATAGATGGAGCAACCATTTTTTCAGGACTATTGTTAATGCCAACACCTAAAATAAAGGGATTAAAGTAAGTATTACTTGAGTTCATAATACTTTAACCAACAAACAAAAATAGATAAATAAATGTAAAAAGAAATAAAGAATTTCTTACTCAAGTCCATTTTCGTGAGCTTTAGTTCAATACTATTTTCAGGTTTTTGTTTTGAAAAAAAAACAGTTTAAATAAGGACAACCTGTAGTTAAAATAGTGAAAATCAAGCTTTTAACTTTCTTGCACAATGCAGAGCTTATACCTGGGAAGAAGTAAAATATTTATTTTCATTTGATTAAAATTTTAAAAGTTATACTTTCACTTTCAATTTAATTTACATAATTTGACCAAAACAAACGTAAAAATAAAAATAAATAGCGCCCCAAGGCGCTATTTATTTTCAAGGGGCTAGCTAAACCAACAAGGCCCTAGCTTAACCATACAAAAAGATATAAGAGAGCAAAGTTTATGAAAATTACGTGTTTTTCGTCAAACGTCAAATGTTTTTTGTAAAGCGGTGGAATCGCTAGTATAAGCATAACAAGCATTTTTTGGTTATGTTGTTGTACGCGGGGGCATATTTTATGATGGACCATTTTAAATTGGGTGTTGTTTTTGTTTTATTTTGTGTATCCCATATATATTTAAAAAGCGTGGTTGCATTTGTGAGTATATATATATGCGTATATATAGTATGTATATGTATATATTTGTATATGTGTATATGTGTATATAGAGTATATATAGATGTATATATATATATATATATATATATATATATATATATATATATATATATATATATATATATATATATATATATATATATAATATATATATATATATATATATATATATATATATATATTTATATGCATGTTAAAGATATATATAAATAAATTATTAAATATATGAAATCAATAATATGTATCATATAAATATAAATCAATAATCTTATGCAGCAAGATGTGTTTTATTTGAATGGCTCATTTGATAACCACATCTATTTTTGCACGTATTTATTTAAAACGTATCCCACATTAGGTGGAACGATTATGTGAAGCGTGTTCTGTGTTCCGCATGTAGGCCACACCAATCTTCTTTTTATATACCTTTTTTTGTCGGATGATGACATTTAAATAAATCATGAATTGGATTCGGATATAAATTATATTACGGAAGTAACTGCTGTTCAAAGCAGCTCATATTATTTTTCCAATGAAACAAAATAATTTATTGATTGTAATAATTTGAATACTTTGCATATTAACATAAAAAGCTTATCAAAAACTTTTGAAAATTTTTATAGTTTAATTTGTTTGTCAGAAACTTAGTGCAGCTCAGATAGCGCAAGTTCTAAAACCAAAACCTGTTTAACAGGTTTATAAAAAAAATCTTTAAAGCTTAAAAAGAAAAAGCGAGGCGGTGCACAATGAGCCAGAGTGGTTAAAATTTTGAAAAAAATTTATATAACTATCATGTTATATAACTTTTCATCGTACATCAATGCTACCGCATTTTGGGTCAAAAAATTTAAATTCGCTATTGAAACAAACTGTAACGCGTACTTAGAACGTCATTTACGAGTGTACATGTGTAAGTGTTGTTTACGCGCGAAAAATCCAAAATATCATAAAATTTAATAACATAAATTTTTAACACCAATTTTATCCTCTGCCTATGGTGAGTACTTCACACGTGTATACGTGTTAGAGTCTTATACGCGCAGACTATAAGACTCTAACACGTATACGACTTATAAGACTAACTTAGGGTAGCATAGGGTAGTATTACTTGGATGGGTAGATTTCTTGTAAAGAAGCAGTAAAGTTAAAGTTGCTTTGTGTTTTTTATATTGACTTTATGTGGTGATAGAACCAATACAATTAGCGTAAGTTTAAATGCAGTAATTAGCAGCTATAATTTTTTTATTTTTTATTTTTGTATTTAGGTGCCCCCAGAAGTCCTTTTTTACTTTATTATTTCAGCTCCAAATTTTGGAGCTGAAATAATAAAGTTAACTTTTTTATAAATAAAAATATGTTAGCTAAAGTTCTAATTCATTTTTGTTTGAAAACAAATCATAGAAACATTAGGTTTTGACTTTGTGTAATTTGTGCCATTTTTGTGTAATATGAGCATGCTCAAATTACACAGTGTTTTAATTGAAATTATCTAAGTTAAGTTTAAAGTCCTAAAATAGCAGTGGTTTTAATTGCTTTTTAAATAAAAACAAAATATCGTAAAAAGTTAAAATAATTTAAAAATACTAAATATTTTTCTGTAATTAAATTTCAAAAAATTTGAATTTTTATTGTTCAAAAGTATGAGTAAATAAAATTGAAAAATTAACAAACTAATTTTTTTTTTATTTCCGGAAAACATAGTAGCTTTATTTCGACTAAATACGGCTTTAAACTTGATCTTTTAATGATAAGTTTTGTTAATAACGAATCATTATATTCCAAAAATTAGTTCTAATAGTCAGGTTGATACTTTTTAAATTAAATAATGTAATTTTTTGAGCTATTTTAAAGTTGCTTCTCATATTACGAAGTGGTATGGTTAATATGAGTACTTTTGCTATATTTTCAAAACCTCTGTGTTTTTAAGAAAAATTTTGGTTACACAAATTTGTAAATGGAGCATGTGTAGGAATCCCTAACAACTGTTTATACGCAAAAATTTAGGATCCAGCATAGTTATTTATAAAAATATTCAAATTTTCGCTTAAAGTGCTCATATTACCTTAATCTACCCTAATTAAAAAAAGTTAGATTACTGAAAAAAAAAAAAAAAAAAAATTGATTGAAAAAGTCAAAACACAATTAAGTATTTTAATAATAGTAAAATATATTAATTACAAAATAATTATTTATCTTATCTAATTTTTCTTTTAAGAAAACAAAAATAGAAACCTTGTTATTAATAAAAACAGCCTTAAGTCATTATTACGGTATCAACTAAATTTCAGGGGTAAATGTTTTTCCAATTTCAAGCTTATATTTTTTGAAACAAATCTTTTCTATAACAAGATCACTTCTAACCAAAAGGTATTGGCACTGGTTTATGATATTATTTTTTCTAGATGTCTTGGCTGTATGGTTCAATAAAACTTTGCAAGTTTCCTTAATCGGAATCACAGGTGACTCTTCAGAGTAGTAACCAATTGGCATTTCTAATGCCTCATATATGTGCACACAATGTAAAAAGATTTATGAACTGTTACTGTATAATCACATACCAGCAATATTTTTATAGTATAAGAGCAGCAGTTTCGGGGCGATACTGGTAAAAAGTTCAACTCATAATTATTAGATTAAAGACAACTCAAGTTGTCTTTAATCTAATAATAAAGTTAACAGTTCATAAAAAAAATTTATGAACTGTTAACTGTATAATCACATACCAGCAATATTTTTATAGTATAAGAGCAGCAGTTTCGGGGCGATACTGGTAAAAAGTTCAACTCATAATTATTAGATTAAAGACAACTCAAGTTGTCTTTAATCTAATAATAACATTTAATAGCACTCCCGTTTTATAGAGCAAAAGTTTCAGCATTTTCAAATACCCTTCTGCAGTGTTCCCATCGCTAGTGTTGCAAAAACTAAATTTGGGAATATCCAAAAGACTTAGATACTCTCTAAACGTCAGTCGAATATTTTCTTTTTCTTTTTTAACTTATGCTTTTTCAGCAGAGGATTTGGCAAAGTATTTTTTTTGTGGATACATTTAGGATATAAGTCTAGTTTATATCCTAAATTTAAAATATTTTCAAAAGATCTGAGTCAGCAATTAAGTAGAAAAGTTCAGAGATAAAACTTTTTCATTAATGGTTTAGATCTGATCAATGCTGGGTTGTTAAGTTCACTGGGCTTAGCTCCACAAACATTCTTGATTGAGAGGACAGAGTATTAATGAGGGCATTAACCACTTTACCATCAAACATTGCATATTAGTTTGAAATCAAATATGATAGTCGTACCCGGTTTGTCTTTCTCTACTGCTAAATTTACCTCAAACTAGACTATAGTCTATTTTCATTTCTGCTTTTAAAAGTTTTTATTTACTTTTTATCAACTTTTCCATTATCTTTTGATGTTTGAGATGTAAGAGTCTACAGTAAAATGTACTAGAGGGGCTCTTATTCAACCATACATTTTTATTCATGGTGGTTTATTTAAATGGAACAATAGTTGTCTCGAAAAAACTTTACTTTTTAACTTTAACCGCAACAATATTTGTATCAATATAGTATTTTTTATGGACACTTTACCTGGAGGTACCATCAAAATTATCTTATCTATACAGATAAGCAAACCTTTAAACCATCTCCTTACTTTTAGCAAATATTCTCATAGAGTCTTTGCATTCGGTAAAAATTAATATCCTTGTCAGAGTATGAATAAACATACCCAGTAGAGGAGTTAAAGCAGATGTTTCTGTCACAAGTAAACTCTTAGATAATATTTGTGTCTTTCAATCTTGCATTATGTATTTTTAAATCTCAATACTTGCATTATATATTTTTGATGAATTTTTAATAATTTGATACCGTTCATCAGAAAGGTTACATTGAATTTTTAAGCTCAAGACATCTACCTACACCTGCTTCAGCGTTTTTTAGTCAACTGTTACAACTTTCTCTAACCAAGTTCGCTTGTGTTCCAGAAAATTTGAGAAGGTTCATGAATGTTTCCGCAACTTTGATTGGAATTCACATTTAAATATTCTTTAGATTTATCATTTCAGGTTTGTCAATACTTTTATAGTCTCGACCATTCAGTCTACAAAACTCACAAGAGCATCGAGTATATTATCATGATTAATTGATTAAACTCTTAAATTATAGGAACTAAATGTATTATTTTTATGATGAGTGTTTGCATTAAACTATTATTTGTTACTTTATACGAAAGTTTTAGTTAAAAGCAGAAAAAAAAATACGATAAAAAAAACAAAAAAGTATATAAAAGGTCTTATTTTAATTTGGGCAATTAGAGGCAAATGATTTTTATTTTATCTGCTATCATTCATACCTATCATTGGAAAAATGTTAAAACTTTTATGGAAGCTAGTGGAATCTTTTAGTTTTTGAACTAAACTTATAATTAAAATAATTTAAAAAAAATCATAATAATTAAATGAGATCTCAGTAATGAAAATATAAAAATAAAATTTGTTGTCAAATGTTGTTAATAGTTACCAAACGCTGTATACCTATGACTTCAAATTAATTTTTGAACTGTTTTTACCCTCGTCATTCTTAAAAGAGTTACAATAAAACGAGCTTTTTTTGAGTTTTCCGATAAATAAAATAAAATAAATAAGTCTCGGTAAAAGGCTTTTCATCCGCCTACCAGATAGAAAA